AAATTTAAACGAGTATATTATCACTTTCTAATGTCAAGCGATGAAAGTCTGATGAATATTTCCCTTACTTATTTGGTAATCATAAAAATCTAGGACAGTTTACCCATTCCTATTGGTCGAGAGCCTGTCACATGGCCGGTCTTAAACAGATGATAAAGACCGGCTGGCTGGTCTTAAAACACTTTTCCAGTGTCACATGAAATGTGGACTCAGATGAAATCCAGTGCCTTTTACCATTTTATTGGTTAAACGTTCACAATCCTTATGTGGGCATGCGCAATACTACCGGTGAGTCAGTATTTCATAGTCCTAATTCACAACACACTGCACAGCTGCATTCTGCCCGACATCGCATAGTACGCACAATGCGCTCGCCAATCTCCATAAAAGGAGTTTTTTACAACTTTCTTACCAGCTGCACACTCCATTCTATAGCTAGAGGGGTGTTTCAAAAAACATGAAGTAAAATTGTTGAACAAAATTGTTGGAAATTTTTGACTTTTGGGCTGAAAAGTTTTGATTTGAAAAATTATTTATGAATGGGAATAAATATTTTTTGGCCAGTATCAAACACTATGTTTACCGGTTGGAGTCTGGATGCTGATAAGTACCCCAGCTGAACATGTGTTAAAACCTGCCAAGCACATCAAAGAAATAAATTCACCCCCAAAAAAACTAAAATATGAGAATTGTTGGTTGCATATCTGCATGCAAATAACATTATGTACATGTACATGTTTACATATTGTAGTATTAATTGTTAAGACAATTGTTGTTGTGAAGGTTGCCTTAGTAGCTAGAATACTTTTGCCTGGGATTTTGACCAATGATCTGATGTTTATTGATGTTTGTGTAAACATTGTGTAAACCATAACACTTTCTCAAGGATAAATTTATTCTATACATGTCTCTCAAATATAATCATGTTCTGTACCTTTGAAATTTTAAAGTATATTATCGCTGTGTAATGTCAAGCGATGAAAGTATAATGGCTGAATATTTTCCTCTATAATTTGGCATTAAGCAATATTAAGTTTTTAAGCTAATATTCTTTTCAGCTAATTCAACCATTTTTTACTTGCCTTTACAATAGCTACCTTTTGTAGTTTTTTTTTTTCATTTCTTTATTTACAGCTGACAACCACATACATGAGTTGCAATCTATGTATGTAGTTACATTATTATTTTGGTTAAAGAACAAGGTTTTCTTTTTGTTAATAGTTTTCTATCTGAATTGTTTAGTTTCTGTGGTTTTGTGGGTGACAAATTTTAGGGTTTTGGGTGTTTTCAGTACTATTTTTGTTATATTGGTATTACTTTTGCTGCATGTATGGTTTGTATGGCTATTTGTATGATAAGAGTGGATGGGGAGTTTTCAAACTCGTTTTTGTAAGTAAATTGATTTATACATTTCACAATGTGAAAATCAACGTATCCGATCAATTGCTTTTTATGCATTTTGTTCATTTTCAATAATAACATCACTTAAAATCCAAAGAAGAATGTCGAGAGCATAACCTGGTGAAGTTTCAGCTCAGTGTATATTAGCTTTAAAAAAGTGAAAAACTGCGCACAACCTTTTGATCACCATTCACCAGACACAATCTCGTCGAAAAATAACTCTCAATTTCCAAAACTCAGTCAATTAACTGATCTTTGGAAATCACCTACATTTCTTGATTTCTTTTGAATGACAGCATTGAGCAAGTCCGATGGAACAATTTCACGGGGATGGAATAAATCCAAAGAAAAATGCAAATGATCCTGTAATTTCTTTAAAACTTTTTTTTGGAGGGGGTTCAGACTGGCTATGTTATTTTTGAGGATCCAAAACATTTGATGGAATATTGAGAGAGGAGTTTAAATAAGTACATCTTTGCTGACCCAAAGGGATTTTATCTTCCTTGTGTGTAATGAAAAGTCAACAAATCCGGACCCCATTTTTTCCCCTGTAAGTTTCACTTTGAGCACTCGGGACACATCTCCATTCTTTTTATTCAGAGTTGAATCCATCCTTGTTCTCGTACTAATTCTGTTCAATTTTTTTTTACAACCACAAAGATATCTGAGCTTTTGAACTGTACTCGGAAACAATGGATTGGTTTTGAATGGTTGTGCGGTGGCACTTGAAACTTGGGTTGAAACTACAACTTAGTGGGGCTATAAAACTTTGGAATATTATTATGTGACAAACTCGTGATGGCCTGATTTGCATGAAATCTACTCGTGCAATATATTGGAAATTTGCCTGTAATCGTTTGATAGTGTAATACACACAATGATCCATGATATTTAAGTGCAACTGTCTTTTAAAGAAATATGTGATCGGTTTTTTTTAAGAAACTATAAACATGAAGGTATTTATACTTTGATTACATAGTATCATTTAGTTCCAGAGATTAGAAATATAAAACTGTCTGTCTTGCTAAGCCAAATATCTTTCATCCACGATCAAAATGAGGACCAAATTTAAAGCTCATTTGAAGTTCATGATTAAAAACAACTTGAAGAAGTCACTTTCCAATCTGTACTTTCCGATCCGTATATCATCTTGCATCTCTGAACTGACTATAACTAATTATAATTCTACCTTTTTCTTCCTGTGCCGTTCTTGTAATAAACTACTGCCTCTTGCATGATATTTAAACATTTACACTATTACATCATTGCGAGTGTTAAAATATTAATGACAGTAAGGCCCAAAAAAAAAATATTCGGTCTCTGGTCAGACCAAAGCTCCGGAATTGACGCGGGACGCGGCTTTTTTTTTGCTTTTTTTTTTTTTGCTTTTTTTTTTTCCTTCAAGCTTGGATTGTACAGACAAGGTGGGGTACTATTTTGCTTTTTTGGTGTCCTCAGGTACATTGGTGCCCTCCATAATTTGCCTTGGTGCTCTCGATCATTTGCCTTGGTGCAATTTCCTATTCCTTGGTGCTCTTTGGTAAAAAAAATTGAGCAGGTGCGGCAATAGAGGGCGCTGTTGGAGCTACCGCGGAACATTTTGGGGGGAAAAAGATTGACGCGCATGATTAAAATCGACGCGCGCGCTGACCAGAGACCGACTTATTTTTTTTTTTTTGGCCTAAAATATACTGAATGTATATCAATCATTATTAAAATGGAAGTGATAAGATGGAATCAAGTTTAAACCGATTCTGTTCATTTAGTGTGTCTGAAGCAATATATAGTGGAGTCTATTTAATACTTCTTTAGAATTCTAAATGTGTCTGTCATCCGTGACAGGAAGAAAGTGTATCTTGGCAAGTTTTGTTATTCTCCAAACGATAATAATGAAACAATTTCCACTGCATGCCTAAAACTCAGTTTACATGAACAAATTGTACACTAAAACCAATGAGAATTTACGTTTTTCTAGTTGACTAGTTTAAAGTAGGTCCCCGTTTGCAGAAAGTATACTTGGGTGCGAGTAGAGCCCAGAGGACCAACATTTAGTCATGTTTCATGTATCCCATGGAATTTCATATTGGTGTCATATAGTTTTAAACTGACATATTCCAATTGGATATGAACATTTTAGCTTTGAGTTTTGAAAGGTAAGCTCGGTGCGCGAGTGAGCAGAACGTCGTGGGTTTGATCCCCACCTAGACAATTTGTGATCTCCCCCTTTTTAACAAGCTCTCTGGCAGCTAGTACTAGCTAGGAGCGCACCCATAAAAGTTATGTAAATGAAGGGCTAAACCCAATTAACAGAAATGAATCCAACAGGCGGTCGATTTGTTTTTCAGGCTTATACATGCATTGGGAGTTATGACGCTCACCGGACGCATTCATACGTGTACCACAACTATACGGGGTGATTAGGGTCACATTCCAGCCGAGTTTTGACGGTGATTTTTGGCAGTATAACAATGAATTGACGATGTCAATAAACTGTTCCCTGTAAAACCCCATACAAAGTTGGCATGAAGTCTCCACACGTACACTGAGCTAGTGACTTTTCGGGAAAACTTCTGAACAAAAACCAGAGTTCACGGAACTTGTATTCTTTTTAACAGGTGGATTTTAACAAGCCGGGCCAGACTCAGTCGAGGCCACCTTAAACTATATATATTTTCAGCACACACACATATTATTTATCGGAGTGTTTTTATTCATTTATTTGAGTGATTGCTTAAATTACATATTTGAGACTGATAGCAATATCACACCAAATTAAGGTTCGCACAAAATTAAGGTTATTAAAATAAAACATAGTTGTAACCTTGCAAGGACTGATAAAGGGGGTGGCTACCACGCCCCACCCCTTCCCTTTCCAACCAACTAATCAATGTTAATACTAGCCCGACTGCAGAGCTTTCGATAGTACTGTACGGCCAGATGCAGTCGGGCTACAACATTATAACAATTTCCAAAAAAATCCAATACAACTTTCAAAATAATATTGAAAATCTATAATTCCTGTTCATTTTATGCGTTGAATGCAACGCCTAAGCCATCCCCGGAAACACCTAGCTTCACTCTTTGGAAAAGTGGTCTCGTTCACTGTTTTGAATTAGAGATGTATTTATGAGGGAAAGTGTTTTCTATCCACCCGTGATCTCCTTGAAACTGTACATTGGTTTCCGTTTTAATTTTTGTCCGTATGTCCTAGTCGTGGAGATAGGAATAGACCTCCATGGTCTGGTAGAACCAAAAAAAATGTACCTTTTATTTGAGATGTTGCCCCTTACACCAAGTTCCAGTTGTAATTCTAAAATTATTACTTCCTTAAATTTATACTCTTGCACACCGGAACTCGTGTGACTTTTCAAAGGAAATAAACTTGGTTTTATAAGGGAAATCGTTTACAATTTTAAGACAGTCACTTATTTTTTTTCTCCGCTTCAATGATTATATACACCCGGGTCACAGTGACGGGATGGCAAAGAACACTATCGTGTGTGTACTACTACTAGTCCCTTACACTTCAGTCTGTGACTTGACATAAATCAGCCATTGTTCAATTCAAAGAAACGCTTGCCTGCGTCTTCGCACATCCGTGACGAGAAACTTTATGGGAGTGAAATGGCCAACTTCACTTCGCATGCCAGAAGTCAACAAAGAACTTACTGTATAGTAATTCAATGGAGTTTTCAGAGAGTTTGTTTTTTTGCTGATGGGGCGTCTGTAAGCGCAAGCTATAGGCTGCCTGGCCATGCGCATCTTAACTGGTGTTCAATAAAAGCCACCGTGTGCCATTCTAAAGTGTTTTGTAATCTTTGAATTTTTCATTAACACGCCCACATACCACACTCATCCTTTGTGCGGCATGCAGTAGCCCGAAGCAAGTGGTGTTGCGCAGGAGTGCAAAATGGATCAGCTGAGATTCGAATGAAGGACAGTTGTTGACTCACACAACTGTACTGACTCAGTGATTGGCACTTCATTTTTTACCAACCCGTTGGCTGGTACAACATTATATTTACCGAATGTGATTCTCTTGTTACCCAAGACATTGTTGCAGGAAGGATGTATTTATAGGCATAACATTCCGGTATTATGGGGAGTTTTAATCCCACAGAGGTCGCGATATTATTCGACAGCACTGCAGACGCCGTATCCCCTGCGTGCACTCTTCGCCGGCACACTGTGTCAATAACAATGTTGACTGGAAACTGAAAGTGCCCTCGGAAATCTCGGGGTTACAGTAGATTTTGACTAGTGATGTGGTGTGACCCGAGCTTCAACTGCCGGAGTTATATTACCAGGAGTGAGGAACAATAAACCTAACGTCATGCTGAGATGTAAGGAACATTCAATATCGGTGCCTTGACTACCAGCACGTATACTTTACCTTCTGCTGGGTTGGAGCTGACTCATCGTCGGTAAGTCATCGCTCTCGCTGTGTTTCTCACGCTAGTTTGACAGCATCGGTCTTCAGTTCCGGACTGGTATTTTTTTTCTGCGTCGTGTGAGAGAAGAAGTGATTGCCAATATGTTGAAGTTACTTTTGACTGTCGTGGTCACTGTCGTTGTCATCACCGGTGTGTCGTGTGAAGCTGTCGTGGTGCTGGAACACGAGGAAATGACACTGACATGCGACATCAGTCCCACAGCGCCTAAAACATCGCCCGTGTTTTGGTATTCCAACTCCTTACTGGAATACCTAACAACTGACGATGACTTGATCGCGGAATTGCGCGATGCTGCCCCGTCCCTCTACTATCGACTGTCGGTGGAAGGGTCGGTCAGAAGGGGCAGGTACAATCTCCGCATCGTCGATGTGAGAGCAGAGGATGCAGGGGATTACGTCTGCGGTTACTACCGAAACGGGGACGAGTGGATCACGGTCAAGACTGTGAGTGTCGAGGTGCTGATTCCCCCGGGGCGAGAGTTCCCTGCCTGTTCGGCGCTGTCGCCCGCTGACACGCTCCTCCTGCCGGGGATGCTGGTCAACCTGAGCTGCATCTCCTACGGTGGGAGTCCCCGTGCTGATTTGGCTTGGTACCGCGACGGTGTGCCACTCGAGAGCGCAGTTGCTCATGATGGGCTCTGGGTGTACCATCAGCGTCTCATACAGGAAGACGACAGCGGTGTGCAGTTCACATGCCAGGCAACCAGCCGAGCACTGCAAGAGCCGAAGAGCTGTAGCATCGTGCCCTATCGCAGAGCCCCGCTGTTGTACATCGAGCACGAGCACGGTGGTGTGATAAACTCAGGGGATTCGGCAACATTCACATGCACCAATCAGGAACTTCTCACTCCCGCCAGCGGTGGTGAGGCGCAGTATCGGTGGTACTTCAATGGAGAACCGGCTGAGGAGAGAAGATCGGGGGTGGTGACGGAAAGTGGGAGGTCACTCGTGCTCGACAACTTAACTTCCATGGACGACAAAGCCGTCGTGTCATGCGAGAAAGTTGACGAGTTTACAGCCAGGAGTTCGGCATCGATGACAATCTTAGTCGTCTCTTCGGCGAACCCGATGCTCTTTTACGACGAGAGAGACTCGACTCCATCCGAGAAACCTGCCTCCACGCCTTCGCCTTTCGTAAATGTCAGTCAAGCGGGGTTTGTCATGTGCATTTTTGGTGCAATCTGTTTCGGGATGTTTTTCATGCTTTTTCTGATCTTAGTCACACGCCTGTTCTGTAACTACGCTCGGAAGCGCGGCCGACTGGATTTTAATACAGAACGTGAAATTGCCGTCGGATGGCAAAAAGCTCTCAATAACTCACGTTGTCATGAAGCAAGACAGGACAGCATCACCATCATCGATAAACCGACTCGAAACACGCAGGTGCTTACTTTTAAGAAACCCAACGGTGTGGTTGCAAATGGTAACCTCCAGAGGAATGATTGTGCGGAGTGTTTGAGATGTAGCAACACGGAGAGCAATCTTGCCACCGATGTAGACACACCTTGCCCGGTGGCTTCTTCTGACATATCCGCTGCTCGTCTCAGTCGACAATCGAGGAACGCCGTCTCACAGGACCTCCTTCCGGGTACATCCTCCCGGAAGAAACCTCCACCGCTCAGTCTGTTTAATGAGACCAGGACACCCTTGCTGTCCCCTTCCTCCATCCCCAGAGCCGGCGGTATGAGGCTGCCTTCCGTTGACCGGGACTACACTGCCTCCATGCCCGATCTGGCCTCTCGCTACTACGGGGAGCGCGGTCTGCCGGCGACCTGCCCAGCAGACCACGATTACGTCAACTTACCCGCCCCGTCCTCCTCCAGAGAAGGATCCGGCAACACCACCCCCTCCTCCTACGTCAACTGTGAATTCGTGAGCCCTTTTCCGCCAACAACTCCAGTGAAGCAAGTTCGTAAACCTTCTTTTGGTACCAACCAGAAGTCGCTGTCGTACGCAGAGCTTGATCTACCGAGAACTAGGGAGAGACCGTCCACTCCCGCCACACCAGTGAGCCCGGGCGGCAGCAAAGTACGCGCCGGTAGCGTTTCCGTAGAACGCACCAAATATGCACAAATCGCTTACGTGTTCAAAGACAGAAGACAGCAGAGCCTTCCGTCTGTCAAACTCGTCGGACTTAGCGAGGGGTTTGGGGAGAGAGTCTGAACTGTTTGGGTATTTAAGGAGGCAGCGCGGACCAATATTAAACTTTTGTTTCACATTAAATGCGAAACATACATTTGCTGGAATATGAGCTAATTATCGAATGTAAACTACCGAATGTAAAAATTAAAAATACCACCCCCAATGCAGCAGGAATGAATAAATATCCACGAATGAAAAGCACGCGCTCGCAAATAGGATATATGCGTTAAGGCAGCGTTAAGGCAGCGTTAGAGGGCAATGGTTTTTGTATTGCGTAGATATAAGGTACTAGTAAACATTTTGTGTATTCATTATTGCTAGATTAAAATAACAAGGATATCATCTGAGAGCCCGGAACGCAAAAGGTCTTTTAAAACTGTTGGTCGTCTTTTACACCTTTTTTTCACAGCGTACATTTGTATTTTCCTTTATATTGAGCATCACCATAAATTTCAAAATGATTACAATGTATTTTCTTAAGGACATGCTGCGTGTCAAAGCCCTCGTCCAAGGTGGTCATGACGTCATACCATGACGCTATAAACTCCAAGAAACCAATGATTTAGTCAGTGCATTTGTTGCCCTACTAGTCAAGAAATAAGGCCATGGGATGTACATAGTGTAAAATGTCTTTCTCTTTTCGAGGAGGGGGTGTACCCATGAACCTGTTGCCGTTGTTAATGTCTAAAGATTTAAAACTAACATTAATAATTTGGTATATACTGTGTAAATTTTGTTTCCTTAAACATTGTACAGAAGGGTATATATAATTTACATTTTTATATTTTAATTTGAAATGACAAATATCACCACTCAAAGTCGGCGTTAACATGAAACAGTTTTCACTATTGTGTGAAATACTGCAATGTACATGTACGAGGTTTAAAGAAGTTTAAAACCCAAGCCAAGAAGAAAGATTTTAAAAGACAAAGGCTGTACAACATGCAAAGGTTTGTTAATGAAATAGTCAAAATGTTTCCCAACAATTTCTCTGGACACCTAGGCCGAGTTAGGGCGGTCTGTTCTTGACGTGAGTAGGCATATATATTGGTCGTGCAAAACCCTGACGGACGGCTGATCGTGTTCCGAGTATAGTGTTCTGTTCGTGGGCTGTGTTCCCGCCGTTCGAGCGCGAGAACATTGCATAACCGTGTCAAGAACAGACCGCCCGAACTCGGCCCAAGTCACACCCTTCCGATCGTGTTGCGGGGTGCTCTTTAAACAGAAACCGTGTTAGGGGCAAAATTGAATAAGCCTTCAAATCAATATTTTATATTTAAAAAACGGATTGATTAGTAAAATGCATTTCTTTTTAACGATTGTATGTTTATTCAAATCTCGAAAGAGAAATAAATGATGTAGGCAGAATTTGACATTTTTAAAAACCTTTTACAAATAACTCGACTGCATATGCGTGTTTATGGTGTAAATCGAGGACACCTTTCAGGATCAGTGCATGTACAGTACTATTGTACTTGTGAAAGAGGCGTTTGCCACACAGTAGGGGCCTACCCTTTCCGTGGTCCATCTTCAGAGATAATCTTAAAAGGGTGATGCGACATTCCGTAAGGATCTTTGGCGAATATTATAAATTCATAAATGTGGCTTAAACAATTTCTTTTTAATTCACGTTTGGAAAACTATATTGTTCCTCAGTCGGCAAAAGCTGAAAATCTTCATAATTCCAGAAATATTCATCATTTTAACATAAACAAAATATTATCTTAGTGTAATTTGCCTCAGACACCCACAGATTATACCCTTGGTATCTTATTGTTAACCTTGGGATTTTTTCGTTCAAATATCTTGTTAGGATAGTAATGAACGCTTCCTGATCAAAAGTAAAAACTACAAACGTCACACTCTGTAAACTATACACTGTTGGTGTTAACTCACTCGTGTTGAACGGCGCCGTCTGCAAGGTTAGTTTCAGCACCAGTGACTGTTAATTCTACTCACCAGTAAATATATTTATTTATTTATTTACATGTACATGTATATACATGCGAACAGGCCGTATAGCTGGGACTGTTGATTTTACTTGTCCTTGTGCTGTGTGATCTGGTCTGGTTAATGAGACGAGAAGTCAGTCGCAGTTGGGGGCCGGGGGGAGGTCGTACATGTGCACAGACAAGGATGACACAAACAACTATCAAATTGGGACATTGTGCGTTACATGTACTTGGAAACCCAATTCCTGCAATGTACTCTGTAGGAAATACTGAGTACATCAGAGGTCTGTACACATAGTTACGACTTAAAACAGCTAGGTATAGGTGCGCTATGTGTGTTTTTTTTTTACAAGGTTATGTCAAGACAAAAGATTTATTTCTGAAATTGCGGATTAAATAATGTCAAATGCTCCCCCCCAATGGCGGTAAATATTTTATTAAAAGAAACACACAATCCAGGAAGCCAAAAGCATTGTGGGGCACCGAGATCGATAAACGTACACTGTGCGGAATGATCACATTAATAAACAAAAATAGTAAGTTGATTAATTGAAAGTAAGATTACAGCAAGATAAAGATTTACGGTAGCACCATGTGACAAAATCAAGTCTCTTGACGACGGCCATACTGTCCGAAACGTTGATTTCCTCCCGGTTCTTTTTTTCTCAGAACCTCACAAACTTATAAAAGAGATTTGTCACATGGTGCTACATCTTTATCTTATTTGCTATCTTCACCAAGCAAACCTTCAAATCTTGTCCAATATTATAGCAGGTCACGTACGTACGTACACGTGCAGCCCTATCCCAGTGGCGCACCCAGGATTTGGTTGGGGAGCTCAAAAAAAATTGCCCAAAATTTTTGGCCAAGAAATTTGGGGGGGGGGGGGGGGGGGGTGGGGGGGGGGGGGACTCGAAAATAGGCCACATACATATCACCAAGGTCAAATCGTGGAATTAAAAAAATTACATTGGGTGCGCCACTGCCCTATCCACCTCAGCCCTTGCTTAAAAATTTACCAGGTTTTGTGCAATTTTCGCGAAATCGCGAAGAAGGTATTCAGTACGTTACAGATTAAAAATGGGGTCTGCGCATAAGTCCGACGCCTCATAGATCCGACGCCTCAGTAAGTCCGACACCTCAAGTCCGACGCCTCATAAGTCCGAAACATCGTTTGTCCGTTGTCGGGATTAGGAGGCATCGGAGCTATGAGGCCGAATCCCTAAGTCCAATGCCTCATAAATCCGACCTCATAATTCCAAAATTTCGGACTCATGAGACGTCGGACTTACGAGGCGTCGGACTTACGACGGACCCCATTAAAAACCAGTACCGTTTTCGTATGAAATCTGGATGAAACGCATACTGAACTTTATTAGTCAAAAGAGGGCGCTATTTAGAGCGGCCGCTTTATGCTCAGGCGAAAACACTCGGGGAATGTTCGGTCTCTTGAAATCCCCCACCTTTTAAAGAAAAAATCGTCCGTTGTTTAGAACGACGCTTAACTATTACTTTGCCTTCTCTAAATAGCAATTTGACTCTTCATTTAAATGCGAATTAGTTGACAAAAATTACGTCCGTTCAGATTTGCGTGCTAATAATAGCGCCGTGTCCGCGTACGTACGGCGCTTTGGTTAACATGATTCAGAAGAGCGCCCTCTTTCTTGAATATTATAGCCACAAAACAAATTTTGTTTTCTAAATAATTCTTATTATTTGTATCGTCCAATTAATTAAAATATTAATTCTTCCCTTCGATAAATTAAATTGTGCTCGTATACACAAACATGATGACATGCCCTAGGAGGGAGTAACTGTTGAACTGAACGTTCACTCCCCGTGCTATTTTGGAGTCGGCCCGAAAGATAGATTCCTTTTCTAAATTGCTATTTTCTAGTAGCAATACAAAAGTTATTCACTTTTGAATGAGACATCGCCCGAAAAAAATCGGCCCATGTTTGGCAGTGTTGAATTGTTCCTTTCCAATTTTAATGATTGGCTGTAATAAACAATAAATCCGTTCTCGCGGGGTGGTACGGTTTATAGGCTGGTTTCAGCCCACTGTAATCGACACCGGGAGCCTGTTTGCAAAGCGGATCTGTTTATGCCTAAAATATAACCCCTTTTTTCAGAGGGTTGCAGACGTCCATAAAAGGGAAAAAAAGTTTGTTGGGGGGGAATAAAACGTACAAATTGTAAATTTATAAACAGACAAAAAAATAGAACTGTTGAAGAGTGAGGCCGGGCCTATTGTTACGGTCTTGGGGCCGAACAAACATTATTTTTGGCAACATCGAAATCACAACCACATTTCTTTCGAAATATCATCGCTTTGTAACCCCGCCAACATGAAGCAAGTGAAATTACGGAACGTAATGCGCAAAGTGGATCTCACGATGCAGCCGCTACATCCATTCAAACCATTATGTGAGCTGTTGAAAGTTTCAGAAGGCGGGCTTTCCAAATATGGCGCAAGCGACGTCACTCCGTAGCGATGACGTCAATTGGTTGCTAGCTGCCCAGATTCCGTGGGACCCTCCCCCTAAATGCAGCGATTCTCCAACTTTCTGCCTTCGTCCTTCACCGACAACTACTTGTGGACAGAGTACGGGCTTTGTGGATTGTTCCTCCATGCCTGAGCTGTGAATATCGGACTATCAGGTAAGATACTAAACGACTTAACTGGGATTTTTGTGTTGTCCCGCAGTCACATTGTAATCAAAACGGGAATCTACCTTTCTCAAAATAACATCGTGATCAGTTCATTTACATATATGGCTGTAAAGTGGCCTGCGGAAGTGTGACGTAAACAAATTAATCCCATTATTTTGATTTTGCAACTATTCCTCTCAGCCTTTTAAATAACATGACATATCAGATAAATTATACTTCGAAATTTTATACTCCATCCTTTACAACCGGAAATTGTCATAATCGCGTCTAAACTTTTTACAATTTTTACTTGGCACGGTTTCAATATTTTGCGGAGCGATATTTTACGTCACGTTGAATGCTATTCGCCGCACGACATGGGCATTCCAAAACATCGCGGTTCTCGCGAGCCAGACGACAGTTTGTGCAGCAGGTATTTCTCGATCGACTAAAAATAGCAGCGCGGAGAATCAGCGTTTATTACTGGTAAGTAAAAATAGAATTAAAATATTCGGTAACACGTTGGTGGCAATGCCGATACCGAATGTCGGTCGACTGGTTCCTATTTCGGGGATGGAAATGTGGGAGAATCATCGTTTGTTTAAATGCATTTGTACGTGTGTAGAGTGAAGAATTTGTCCACAGCACCGTGTTTGTTTTGGTTTTTACATGGCTTTCGCATTGGGAAGTGCATATCTACATGACTGCATCACGCATGCACCGCATTCGTGTAAATTTGGATGTGTTTCTGGCAATGGTTTTGCTCGTCTTTTTTTTTTAGGTGCAGGTCTAGTAACGTTGGAAATATTTTTCAAATTTAGAAGTAGATCATCTGGATTGATTCGTGATAGTCAAGATGTGCCCGAAAATTCAGTTCTAAACCGTAAACGTGATGTGATTATTTTAAGCATTATTTTGTGGGCAAGGTGTTTTCCTAGTGTGTACTGTATTAATTGACGCCTGGTCATTGCATTGTGCATTCGGACATGGTCTGGCCATGTCCGAATGTAGCCCCATAAATATGGCCAATTTACTGGACTACCTCCGTAAATAAAGGCCACACTTCCACCATGTACACAAAAACATGTCGAACTTTGTCAAATTTTGATTTTCACGTTTAGTCTTACTAGTTTGTACAGTTGTTTTCCTAGTTCCGGATAGCAAACATCATTCAGCATGTTCAGGCTGCTTTCAGCTCAACTACTCCACGAATTCAAGTGACATTGATTAAAAAGTTTACTTTGAGTGATAGAGAGACCGATGTCACTTTTCCTAGTTCTGGATCGGTTCAATCAGTTCCGAATCGATCAAAACTGCTTCAAGCAAAAAAAATAAAAATCACGTGAGAAATTTCTTTTTTTTTCAGCCAGAACCAACCAAATCAAGCATATTTTCTGATAAACTATTATTTCATTTTCCAAAAATAGTTCATTCAAGAGAATTCCAGCAAATTTTAAAAGAGACAAAAACGTAAATGATTTTGAAACTTTTGTCTGCAGCGCAATGGCTCAGTCAAACTCACGCACGAGCCTAAATGTGAAAATCAAAATTTGACAAAGTTCAGCATGTTTGTGTTCATGGTGGAAGTGTGGCCGGCCTTTATTTACGGAGGTAGTCCAGTAACTTGGCCACATTTATGGGGCTAGTCCGAATGTTAAAAAGGCGAACTTGGCCTCATTTATGGGACTAGTCCGAATGTTAAAAAGGCAATAAGTTGGGTCCAAGTAATACTAGGACTAAGCATGGATAAAATACGATCTGAACAAAATGGCCATGGCCAT